TTATTATAAATCTAAGTATAATTTAAAATTTTAAAAATATTTATTTATATAAATTTTAAATATAATTTATATATTTAAGTAAAGTATTTATTTATGTATATAATTAATAGTATAGTGTATAATATATAAACTAAATATTTATTACATATAACTAAATTTTATAATAAATTATATGAAATAATGGAAGAAGATTTAGAGAAAAGAGAAGCTCATTGACTAAAGTCCTTTTCTTTAGTATCATTTCTCTAAACTTTTGATGAATGGAGTGTATGAGACTCTATTTAAAATAGAAACTTTAAATATTGCTCCCCTGTAAGTCAAACTGAATCTCAGCCTTAAACCCCCCCTGAGACTACTAAAACTCATAAAAAAAATCCTTAGATCCTAAAATTCCTCAACACAGAACAACAACTCAATTTAATAACACGAAATAACTTAAAATAAATATCACTTTATAGTTTACAGTGTTACAATAGTTCTTTTAAACAAAATAGACTTAAACTGCTATTTATCTTAAATCATTTACAAATTTTTCTTATTTTATTATACATTAAAATATAAAATAATATAAATTTAGAAAAATTTTAAAAATCAAGTGTATTGTTTGGCTTTTTAATTATAAATCCTTTACATACAATCTTCCACAATTTTAATATATTTAGTGTTCAAAGAAATGATTTACAAAAATAAAAGTAATAAATGATTGATATTTAAAATAATAGATAAATAGTTAAAAATCCTTATTTATTAATAGTTTAACCGTGATTTAATATAAGAGACTATTTACATAAAGAGTAAATTTCATGAATTAATACAAAATGATTAATTGATATAAAATTTGATTTAAGATGTATATTATAAAAAGGAGATAAATTTTAATGATGAATTGAAACACAATTAAAGTTTTAAGGTATTTGTTTGTAAAGGAGTAAAGTTGGAGGGTTAAGATAAAGCTAAAATTTGAAATATATATTTGCAAAAGAGGTAACATTTATGAGATTTAAATACTTTTTCCTTATTTTTTTTGGTTAAATAGTGTGAGTATGAATATAATAATTAATGACATTATTGTATTATTTATATAAATTTATAATAAAAAAAACATACTTTTATTATCTTGTATTAATTATTGTATTTGTTAAATATAATAAATAATCAATAATAATGTTATTAAATATTATATGTATGATAATTGTGAAATATGTCAACAATTTCATCTAATTTAGATAATTATTAAATATATCTTATATTTTAGAGTTTTTTTTTTTACTTCAAATACATAGTTAGAGTTAATTTTATTTAAAGGATGAAATTATTTAATCTTAGATATTTTTAATAGTTTTCTTTGTTATAGTTTGGAGACACATGGATAAGGAAACTTGAAACTACAGAAGACTCACCTAGTCTAACTCCAAGCCAGCCAACTAGGTGCTCTAAGTGAACTTCTTCAAAGGAATTCACTTAAAGCAATGCAACTGTTGGCTTTGAGCAAGCCAATAAGCAAATAATTCACATAAAGTGACCAAGAGCACTCTGAGTGAGACAAGTCAAAAGCAATCCCTGAAAGAAATTTTTGCTCACTTAAGCGAGTTATTTGGACGTTCTTAGCAAGCATGCACAAACAAAAACCCATTCTAGTTATTATAAATAAGGGTTTTACGAGAAGTCATGTATCTAAGTTTTTACAATCAGAAATTTTAGTGATTAAAGAGAGTTTTTTGTGAGAGTAGTCTTGTAATCACGAATCATTCGAAGAACCCTTCTTTTTCTTGTGTGTAATCGTTAGTCATGAGCAGCTAAGTCTCCATTGTTGAAGATTCACATAGTTGTACTCATGTAATTCTCCTTATTCTTATTCAACAAATGTATTTTTTTAATTAATCGTTTGTATTTTATATTTAATGTTTATTATAATTTGATCAACCATTGCATGATTTTATGATGTTATCTAAGGTTGGAAACCCTTTAGAATTATGATATAGATAAAATGCTAATAACACTTATTAGTATAAATAGAGTAAGTATTATTAGTCAATTATTAGGTCCTTAACCTTAATGCAGATTGCTTAACAAAAATTATCAAAGAATTAAGATTTTTCTTAATTTAGTAGCTCTCAAATATATTTAAGCAACTTAGAATTGCTAGCCTAAGAAATTAAGGTTTAAATATATTTGAGAGCTATTAGATTAATGGTATAATTTATTTAAAAAAATGAAATTTTTGAAGGATTTACAAGGAGAGAATTAGTGAAATCAATTTCTAACTGTCCTTGTTATCCAAATTTAAATTCTTCATTAATATGTTGCATGTTTCTTACTTTCATAATTTTATAATTTTTTATGTATTACCTTAAAATATTTTAAATCTCTTTTAGTCATTTGTTTAGTACTAAAATTAAACGAATATAACACAAGTCCTTGTAAATTTGATAACTTAGACCTTTATCCAATTGATTACATATAGTAATTGATATACTTGTCAAATGCATAACAATCTACTAAATATAGTATATTTTGTGAAAATTAATATATTTAATATTTGGTTCTTAAATGTGTGTGTTAAAAACTATTATTAAATCAAAAGTAATCTATTCACAAAAAAAAAAATTAAAATTAATCAATCCTCTCCTAATAGATCCCTATGCGCTTAGGGGTTAGTTAAATAGTTGCAATTGGGTGTAACTGGCTGCTTGTGATTAAAGCGTCTGCAACAATCTTCTAAGTGGACCCCTGCGATAGTGCCAACATGTTATTGGCTTGGCTTCCTCTTAGGGATGACAATGGGACGGGTCGGGTACGGGTTTCATGATACCCGTTCATGTTCTCGTGAGTTAAATTCATCTCCGTTCTCATACTCGTACTTGTCGGGTATGTGATTTTCATCCCTATCCTCATCCTGTCGAGCATCGGGTATACCCGTACTCGTACTCGTACCTGTTAATTTTTTTATTTTTTAGTTTTATAAAAAAATATGATATTTTTAAATTATTTTTTTATTATATTATAATTATAATTAAGTTATTTCTCTATCTCATATTATAATAAATAATCACGCATAAAAAAATATTAAATTTTTTTAATATAATTAAATTGAAAGTGGGTATTAAATTAAAAATAGAAACGGAGACGGGTATGGGTACAGGTACGGGTACAGGACAGGTAAGTACATACTCATACCCGTACCCGTACCCGTACCCGATTTAAAGTATCGAATTTTACCCGTACCCACACGCGTACCCAGTCAAATCGAGTATTCCCCGTTGAAATCAGGACGGGTTCGAGTATTACCTGCGAGTACAGATATATTTGTCATCCCTACTTCCCCTCGATAATATTTAAAGTGTCTTTCTGTTATACCATTTTTATGTAAAAATAAAAAATAAAAAGTAACTTTCACCGACAAAACTAACTGAAAAGTCAATGCATTTATTCACTCAAAAAAAAATTAATATATTCATTTGATTTATATTATTATTTAATGCATGACAAATACTTTATATTTATTCCCATCAATAATATCAATGTAACATTAATGTATTTATTATCTACATAAAATATTAATAAATTAATCAATGAGTAATTATATTAATTTGATATTATATTATAATATTAAAATAAAATGTTATTTAATATATATATATATATATATTAATTTAATACAATTAGTAACATTTATATTTTATACACATATACCTGCATATATTATATTTATTTATAATTATATATTTTTAGTATTTAAATTTTTTTTGATTTTTTATTTTAGTTTATGATTTTTTGTTTTTAGTTCTTTAAAAAATGTAGAGGTTAAAAAACATATTTAATCTATTTTTTATCAATAAAAAATATTATAATGATAGTTATAAAATTCAAGTCTAAGACTTTATACATATTATCTCAACTTGTTCTCCCTTTTTTCACTTTCTATCACTTACCATTAAGTCGATTCTAATGATTCATATTAAATTATAATTTGAAATCTCATACAAACTATCCAAAGATTTTACTATTAGATTAATCTTAATAAATTTATTACACAATTATATAAATATATATCATTCTTTTGATTTTTACTAGTATCATCGGTTAGAGACAATCATATTCTATCATATATTAATTAAATGTGGACATTTCTTCTTACAAGAATTCAAAAGTATAAAAATGTGTATTTAATTTATTTATAATTTTAGTTCACTACTCCCTCTAAACTTATACGCGAGTAAAAAGTGTTTAATTTTTTGGGTTCAAATATACTCTCTCCATTTTTTTCATAGTCGTTTTATCAGATTTTGTTATTTTTTTTCATTGTCACTTTTCTAAAATCAATAACTTATTAATTTTCTTTTTTTATTTTTACCCTTGATAATTAATGCATGTTTACTGAACAATGTGTCTATTCATTTTCTAATATACTTATTTCTTCTCCAACTACCTAAAAGGTATAATAGGAAAATATGTAATAAATACTTTGAAAAACTAAAATATCAATCATTATCTTAATTCTTATACATAACCTTAAAGACAATGAAAAAAAACAGAGGGAGTAAATAAATTTTAGTCAATTCAACTTTATTTAATGCTCTTTATCCAAAAATATCCATAAATTAATAAATGAGAATACTATTTACGATATATGTGATTGATGATATTTTAGAATCTGTAACATATATTTTATATAAAATCGTGAAAATTAAATATGTTTGACTATCTTTCTAAATCTGGAAAATTATTATTTTTTACTTATATATAAGTTTAGAAGGAGTATTTATATATTCGTGCTCAAATATCTCATTTAATAATATTTGTATTTTTTTTTAAAAAAATTAACTTTTGAGGTCCTATTCATTTTTAATATGTATTAAATTCTTTCCAATCTTGATGCTAAGACATGTGTTACATTAGCTAATAATTATATGGTAAAAAATATTCATCTTTATGATTTGAGAAATTCTCCTTTAAATTAACTTTTGAAATTGACCCTTTGATACCAATTCATTGTAGCAATGGATCCAAAGGCAATCCCAGAAGTGGTGCTAAACTCAGGCCACAAGATGCCCATTCTGGGTTTTGGCACAGGAACTGTGCCCTTACCACCAGCCCATGAGCTCATCCCTGCATTCATTGAAGCCATCAAATCTGGCTACAGGCATTTTGACACAGCAGCCTATTATGGTTCTGAGGAACCTCTTGGCCAAGCAATAGCACATGCCCTTGAGCAAGGCCTTATTAAAAGCCGTAGTGAGATTTTTGTCACCACCAAACTTTGGTGCACTGATGCTCATCCTGGCCTTGTGCTTCCAGCTATCAAGAGTTCCTTAGAGTAATTTTATGACCAAATTATTTGATTCTCACTATTACCTTCTGAAATTCTATTCATTTGATTCATTACACATGTTAGTTTATATATTTTGTCTGTACAAGAATTATTATTATGAGTTTATTAATTAACATCTAAGGTTCTATTTCCAAATTGAACATGAGTCGTGATTGAAAATACCATTATACTCCTAAAATAAGTCGATCTGAAGAGAAAAATATATACTTTTTGATAATAAAAAAAATACTATTGATCCATTCTTAGATTAATAATCATTGTCAATTTTAATATTTGAGATGAAAATAGTGATTATTGAGATAAAATATCAATTTTGATTAAGATTAAGAAAACATGTTTATTTGTTATGGATGTGTAATTTATGCAAGTTTCATCCTTTCTCTGAGTCTAATTATTCGAATTTTAAAATTTTGATAGGAGGTTGGGCCTGGAGTATGTGGATCTTTACCTAATCCATTTTCCAGTGAGATTGAGACAAGGAGTTCCAAAAGGGACTAAGTATGGCAAAGACGACATTCTTCCTTTAGACATCAAAGGGACATGGGAAGAGATGGAACAATGCTCTAAATTGGGCTTGGCCAAGTCCATTGGTCTCAGCAATTTTGGGCTCAAAAAGATTTCTGAACTTCTACAAAATGCAACTATTCCTCCTGCTCTTGTCCAGGTATTCTTTATGTTACCAGAAACATTTGATCAATCAGTCATTTTTTTTAGTTTGTTTTCACAAGTTTTAAAAAATTAATTTTGTCTCTTTAAAGTGTTTGCTGACCAAATTGATTCTTGCGTCAATCATATTGTCACCGAAATGAAACCAAAAAACAAGACGAGACACTAAAATTAATTTTTAAGCAATAATTAATATTGTCACAGACATATATGCAGTTTTGTTTTTGTTTTTGTTGATAACATGTCACATGTGTGTCTCGTAAATGTCTTTTTGAGAATGAGCCAACTGGGCTTATGGAATGGCCCATTCATTTCTGGACACCTTGAAAATGCCCCCATTGGATGTGTTATGCGCGCGTGTTCTGGTTTTTTTTTTTTTTTTTTTTTTTTAATAATAATTTTGATGGACAAATTTACTGATGATTTTTAATTAAAAAATATATTGGGAAAAAAAATTGGGTCAAATTAAAAATTTTCTCTGTTGTCCATGATCATATTTCAACAAAAAAAAACTGAATGGTAAATAAAAAGTTAATTGGAGGATTTTTCAGATTGTTTATATAATAGGCTAATCAGTAAATGGATGAAATGCATTCTTAATTAATTTGCAGGTAGAAATGAACGCAGCATGGCAACAAGAAAATCTGAGAGAGTTCTGCAAAGAGAAAGGAATTAAAGTGAGTGCATGGTCCCCTCTTGGAGCTAATGGAGCTGTGTGGGGTTCCCTTGCTGTTATGGACAGTCCAATTCTTAAGGACATTGCATCCTCTAATGGCAAAAGTGTGGCACAGGTCAATTAATTAAGACCATAGACCATGTTTCATTTGCAAAATATATTTTATGATTATGAAGTGTTTTTGAGAATTTTTTTATTTAAAAATATTCTTTATTTTTAGTAAAAAAAAATGATTCTAAATTGTATAAAAAAAAACTCTTAAGTATCCTGATTCATGTGAAGCTTAATTACTCTAGTATATATATATTGCAGGTTGCATTGAGATGGATCATAGAGCAAGGTGCTACTCCAATAGTGAAGAGCTTCAACAGTGTGAGGATGAAAGAAAATCTCAAACTGTTTGATTGGGAGCTGAGTGAGGGTGATTTGGACAAGGCTAAAGAAATACCACAGTATAGGGGTTTCAAAGGTGAACGTTTTGTCTCTGAATTTGGACCTTACAAGACTCTTGAAGATCTTTGGGAATGAGTGGACATCAATTTTCAGGAATACTGTTCCTCATTCCTTAAACCACAAATTATTCGTATCAGCTCTTTTAAAATGATTACTTTTTAAAAAAGCTGATTTCGAATAATAATTATTATAGGAAAGAGTTTGAATTATTATGCTCTAATAAACTTTCAAATTTCTTTTGCATTATCAATACATTTTGTAAGAGCTAAATTATTATATGGGAAAATAAGTTATGCAGTGTAAAACAACCTTTATCAATAAAATAATTACAATAATGATAATAAAGATTAAACATAAATTCACTTGCATCTATTTTAATTTTAATCACTAAATTGATCATAGACTGATTTACAGATATTTATGATAAGTATATTAATTTTTATAATATATAAATTATATCAATGGTATAAAAGCTTATGCAATATGACCATTAAACTCTTCAAATATATTATGATTGTCAAAGAGCATAAATGGTAATTATTTCTTATTTATTTATATGGTGATAAAAAAAAAATTATATTTAATTTGTTCTTTAAAGTATACATTTTACAAAAATAAATTAATAGATATACACAATCGATATAAGTTATTTTACATTATAATTAAATTTAGCTTTAGTATCATTTTTTATTATCAGAGTTAAGATTATGATTTGTAATTAAATAATAATATAAGAAAAAAACTTTACCATGTGGGCGAATATTTTTTTTTCTTCATAAAATTGATACGAATCCAGTAGTTAATCTATATAACATTGCTTTCTTGAATTAAAATGAATTTTTTCTCATGGGTCATTTGGACTTTAATCTTATTTACACATATTAACAAATAACTCTAAATAACCGACACATTGCTCAACCGTTGCCATCATTTTTATTTTTCTGTTTACGTGGTCTTTTTTTTTTTAGTTTTGTGTTTTTCGATAAAAGCATATGACCCTCTTTCAGTAAAGAGTATAAATGTGTGTAATATTGATTATATTTTTAAATAATTACGATACTTCGTATTTCTGTGTATTTTATTGTGAAGGATAAAAAAAAATTAAAAATAAACACTATATAATTAGTGAAACTTTTAACAACTAAAAATAAGTTGTTTACATTTTTTGATAAAATAAAAAAGTAAAAGAGTCTAAAATAAAAATCAAAACGATTATCAGGAGAAGTATTACTACAAGAAATATTTCATACAATGACATACAAAAAGTGTCACTATAAGTACAATATATATAGATATATGTCTATTTGACATATAGTTATACACAATTTTAGTGTTGATTTTGAATAAAGTTTAATAATATATTTTGTGTGTCACTATAGTCTATACCTACACTTTTTAATAATATGCTAACATATATTATAGGTATTGTGTGAGTAAACATAATTTTTAATGACATATATAATGTCACTATAGAGTATGTATCACTAATGATAATTTTATTATAATATATATATATATATATATATATATATATATAT